TTTAGCATTATGGTTAACAATGTTTAAAAACAGCTAACTTAAGATGCAAACATTTAAATTTTGAAGTTTAACTGTTGGGAGGCCAAGTCAGTTCTAGGAAAATACAAACAACATGAGGACAGTCATGTTTCCCCCAATTCCATCCCCTGTAAGAATATTTCAGGTCACCCTTTTGTTGGGTTTAGGAGTAAGAACTCAAGGTTGTATGAGAGTTACAAATTTATTTGTGTATTTTTGGATAGTTGCAGATTTAAGTGCTTGGGATGAGCCTTGAGAACATCATGCTAAGTGAAGGACGTCACTCACCAAAGGCCACATATTGTAGGATTCCATATGGGAAATGTCCCAAATAGGTCAGTCTATCCAGAAAGAAAGTAGATTAGCCATTGTCCGGTGCTGAGTTGAGGCAAGTGACTGCTAACAGTTAAGGGGTCTCTTTCTGGGGTGCTGAAGATGTTCTGACACCAGACTGTGATGATGGTTGCAAACTCCGGGAATATACTCAAAGCCATCGAACGGTATTCTTTAAGCGGGTGAATTGTTTTGTGATACGAATTATAGCTCAGTAAAGCTATTAATAAAATTAACATGCCTGATAATGTTCATAACAGCACTGGCATGAAAGATAACAAGAAAATCAAGTTAAGCTAATACAGCTTCCATAGAAGGCTAAAATACATAAATCCCTGAGACCCTGGTCTCCCCACTGTAGATCACTTTCCCCCAACAACCAGTACTTGCTCTTCCTAACCCTGGTCATCATCATTGTTCATAATCTGGGTCTTCCCCTCTCTAATATAAACTCTACGAGGACAGAGACCATGACCTTCTTATGTAGTGCTATGATCTCAGCAACTAGCACACAATGATCAGTAAATACCTACAGTAGGATTTATGTATGTATGCAGTACGCACTTCCATATGAATCAATCAATCAATCAATCAGTCAGTCAGCGAAATCATCAGATGGGGGCAATTCAACCAGTCAAATTGTGTTCGAACTGTCCTCTTAAATCTCTTCTCCGATTCTCCCACGTTCCTGGCCACCCTTAGTACACATTACTTCCCAGCCACTGCTGCAGTTTCTTGCAACCAGGTGACCATAATCTTACAAATTAAAAGTTAATGAATGGGATCTGTGCATTTTAACTCATTTGCACCAAAGACAACTGCTTGGCTTGGACTTCACTATGCTTCAACCATGTAAATAATGACAAAGGCCCAAGGTAGGAGAGCAAAAGAGAGAAAGAACCTGCCCACGTAAGCTAGACTGGTGAGACTGCTCTATAAGAGAGAAGGAAACCCCTATTTTATGTAAGCCTTTGTCTGTTGGGGTCTCTATGCTGTAATACCAGCCTAGTCTTTACCCAGATTGTTAAATCCAGGTATAGGTGTATGGGGAGAAGCGGGGAGCAGGAAGGTTTCCAATGCTTCATTGAAAAAGCCAGTGTCAGTCAGTGTGGTCATCTGGTGGCTCAATGAAGATACTGTTATGTCTACACAACAACATCCCAATACCACTCAAAACGGTTACAAGAAAATGAACTCTATAAAGTGAATCTGAATCTCAAGCAAAAATGTATGTAGGCGCAATGCCAGTGTTGAGGGAAAGCAGAAAGAAAATGATGTATAAGCCTTTATTAAACCGCCAAACTAAGGCAGCCATGATAAAATGACATCAGTGTAACTGTGACCTAAATACGATGTCTTTTTAGGTCTAGTCTTGACATTCTATGTGACCATGGGTGAGCTACTGATCATCTATGGGACCACCTTCCCCGTTTGTAAAGTGGGGATTATAATCATTGCTACCTATCTCTCAAGAATACTGGCACAAACCCATTTTGTAAAGTATTCTGATCTATTTGGAAAAAAAACTGTTATATCACTACGAAGGAAGATGACTGTTATTTATGATTCTTCAGAACTTCGAATCGAAATTTGAAAAATGGCTTCATCTGTTTTCTCTGAATTTGCCTGGCCCCTTTATGCACATAAGTAGTTCTTCCCATAGTGCCAATGTAGACATATTTACTTACATCTATGTTATTAATGATTCTGAGATTTCAAATGTGGCATGACATTTATTGAGAAGCACCTGGCATCTGAAATCAACCTTTTTTTGATGCTGGGGAGATGGTGCTGGTTTCTCCATCATCGCTGGATAGCATGATCATCTCAGGTTTTTGTGGGTTTTTGTTTGCTTTTGAGAGACAGCGTGCCCGTGGACACACGTACAAGAGAGGGAAGAAGGGGCAGAGGGAGAGAGAGAATCCTAAGTAGACTCTATACTCACTGCTGAGCCCATCACAGGGCTCGATCCCACAACCCTGAGATCATGACCTGACCAAAGTTAAGAGTGGGTGCTTAACTGACTGAGCCACCCAGATGCTCCACACGCTTCTCTTTTTAAGACTTATTCCCCGGGAAGAAACAATAGTTATTCCAGCCGTTTCATAGACTTTTTTTTTTAACTTTACATTTTTAATAAACCTTTTTTCTTTTTTATATATGAAAATATATAAATAAATATATAAATAATATATATAAATGAATTATATAAAAATATAAATATAAAAAATAAATAAGGATTAGTTTTCCAAGGGTCTTTAAGCTTGTTAAAAGGTAAAAAATTACATGTGATTTATTACTTAAGTCTCTATATCGTCACTAATTTCTTAAAAAAAAAAAAACCTTGAAATGAGGGTTAAATAGGATGGAATTGATATTATAGAAGAATAAAAATAATAACCCAATGTTAATTGGGAGTAGAAAAAATGAGGTTGATTTTAAAAGATCTCAATCACAAAAGCTGGAGTGGAAAGTAATTATACAGAGGTTGAACAAAAAACTCTTACTCCGAGCTTCCTAGCAATCAAGTTTAAAAGAAAAATTATATGAATTTGTTACTCAGATTCCTTCCTACTGTCCTTCATGACAGTAGCCAACAGAAGGACAAAATTTTTCACTATTCATGAACTTTGACAAGAAGTTCCCCATTTGCAGCATATCATATCATATAATACACCGTGTCCTTGACATTAATTATAAAGAAAGAATTCTCTCTCCATGGAGTGCCTCTCTTAGTCAACACTAATGAAAATTTCCTGGAACTTTTTTTTCCCCCTCAAACTTGCCCCATTTCATGATATTTTAAACTTTGAACAGTATCACAGAATTGGAAACATATCACATCGCACACATTCAAGTGTGCCCATTTTCAGGTCATGGGTGTTAGCACAGGCATTATAAAGACATCAAGTCAGAAGAAAAATAATTCATGCTTACAGGTGACCCAAAGAAAACAATGAAAAGTGCTCAGGATGCCCTTATTTGAAGCTGTCGGGGTAACACAACTCGCAAGGTGAATATTTCATCTTTTCAACCACGCTTTCAGCTTTGTTTAATCACAGTTTTGGGCTCTGCCAGAAATCTTTGCTAGTTAATGGCACAAGATGAGTTAAACACCTGGCACAGCTTTGCCTGAGGAACGTCCTGGACTGAGATCTCGCAGGGCTCACGGAGACCAGGAGACACAGGGTACAGCTGAGCCGAGCTGCTGTGGCAGAGATGGAATGGCCCACAAAACAGAAGATGTATCTTGCATGGCCCTTCACAGAAGAAGTCTGAAGATCCCCGAAGTTAATTAAGCCTTCCTTCTTAAGACTGGACAACTGAGACTCAGAAAGGGAAGTGCTTGGACTTAATAACCCCCAATACCAGTTGGGATCTACCCCTTTCCATGCTGCCTCGTAGAAACGAGACTGTCTTCCACGGTGAGCAAGCAGGAGCTTCCCACAAGGGTTTTATTTAAACAACAATGATGGTGAAATGCAGCAAGTGGGATTTTTTTGGCCTCCAATCAAATGTGCCAGAATGCGACACTAACCATGAATCCATACCTTTAAAAGGCATTCTAGAGTCCCGGAATGCTAAGATTAAAAACAAAAGTGATCCAAGAATCTTCACATTATAAAGGTAAAACAAAAAAACAAAAAAACCCCAAAACGTGTGTAGCTAAAGAGTAGGAAATCTCTGTCTTACCAATTCATAAACTCAATTTAGTCATACCTGGGTGGAGACCTGGTGCAACCAGGGCAGCAAGGAACCTGTTTTACAACAGACACAAATCCACGAACGCAAACGGAGCTGTTACTGGCCTAAATTCAAGAATCAAGTGAAGATGCTCCTTGATACACCTCAGCCATGAAAATGACCGGCAAGGTTAACCTGGGGCAGATGACCACGGCCTCACCAGAGCGAGACCTCTAGAAATCAAGAAAATGCCGGAGCACCTGTAAGCATTTGAAACGTGCTTTTTTGTTCCCCCTCCCCAAAGTGAGTTTGAGGAAATTTAATTTCGCTTTAATTCATCAAGTTACATTAGTCTCTCTGCAAACTTCTAATTTTAAAATCAAATACTCATTTGATTTTCAAGCAAGGTCAAGAGAACAAGGCAGCCTAGCGCTGACATCACAGGGATGTGCCCCCATGCCGCTGAGCAGTTGCATCAGTGCTCTGGGTTGCTATGGCGTTTGACTATTAATTTCTGAAAGAACGTGATTCTAAAGCCGCCAGATGAACATCAATCGGATGACACCACCTCGGCACGAAACACCGACAGGCGCTGCTCGTGGTCACAGCAAGTTCACTTTTATGAATCACCTCTTTTGTGATATGCCTTTCTAACTTTAAGCCAACCGAGTCAACCGCCAATAAATAAATAAGTAAATAAATAAAAGTTCGGCTTCAACAAAGAGCAGAAAACTTGAAACCATTTTGGCGGGGGGGGGGGGGGGGTCACTCTGTGGACCATTTCTTAAGGACAGTCTTTTCTTGAAAGATCTCCCCCAAAGATGCCAGGGCATGCGGACTTATGCACAAACGCACACACGTATTTTTGACAGCTACGGAGATCGGAGAAGAGTTGAACAGAGATATACCTAGAAGGAGGGAGATAACGGGCCAAGATATAATCCCACTACTCGTATTGCATTTACCTTTTTTGGCTTCTGGAAAGCAATCTTCAGGTATAGTCACCTCAAAAGGTCACTTCTTACCCTGAAAACAAAAGAGAACGTCACAATCTGAATGTCAAGAGACAGCACCAACCACCTTATTGCCTGGGACAGATGCAAGGGCAACAGAAGGACTCGGTTACGTTGCATGGCAAATGACTTTTCGGAGTTAATAAAAACAAGTCCCAAGACCAGTGATCTGGAGCACAGGCCTGTGAGCGCCTCAAGACAACAAAAACAATGTGGGTGGAGAAAGTCAAGGTGAAACATTTCGAATTTTGCAAGTGAACTTTTTCTCATCTTGTCATCGATCAATTTATTTTCTGGCGCAATAATACGTGACTCATAGGCCTTTGTTTTTGGAAACCAGTCTGCTCCTTGAACGTGTCTGTTTGGTTAACATCCACAACATCTCTGATTTCATTAACGCATGGGCTTGTCTCCCCCCACCCCCACCCCCAAGAGGAGAGTGAGTTCTTATAGACAAGATGCTTATGCTACCCTGGAACCTTCCAAAATGAACACCAGCACCAGGATCTTCAAGTTTGGGGAGGGCTGGGGGGTTAATCGGTTGGTGAAAGCTGTTCACACTGTGTTTTCCACTTAGCATTTATCTACCAGATCTACCAAGTTAAATAAAAATGGTTTGTGTCAGATGAAATAAACAATTGAAACGGAGCTCCCTAAAACACAAAGAAAGCCTAGAACATGTTTTATCCCACATCTACTCCCGCATCTGCATGCTCTCTTATGCAAAACAGTGTGTAATCCTCTAAGAAACATTACAAGCTGCCTCTTTCTGCCCATGTAACTGGGATCAACATATGGCACAAGTGAAAAGAAAAACATTTGTTTATTAATTTAGAGCGAGTTACCGACAGGGTACAGGACTCACTCCACATCAGCTGACCAAATGCTCATGTAATTTTTTTGCAAGATGCTAAGATCATTTCATCGTTTTACTAAAATGTTAATATCCTTTTGCTCACTCTTCAGAACAATATGTAATGAAGTGGTTTTAATTTTATACAGAATATATCCCTGCTTATCCCTCTGCTGTCAGCCCTGAATGTGGAAAGGCAAACATTATTGAGAAGAGTTAAATCTTATTTCACAAGGGCTAAAATCTGAAAGTGGCACTTTGGTGAGTACTATCTTTGAGGAATTGATCTGAGGCCAATTTATGACATTTCCACAAGCAAGTATATGCAGATTCTTGCCATAAAGATTGGAAAAAAAATGCAGGCTCTGAGTGAAATCATAATTTTCATGTTTACTGTAAGAGGAAATTGGAGGTTTTCACCATAAATGTTCACCATTTGGGTGGGGGAAAACCCTAGCTCTGGGACTTAAAATTACTATTTTGCAACCTGCCCCAAACCTTTTTGTTTTTACACAAAACAATTCAAATTGAAAATGAAAATTCTGAGACACACTGCTGATGTGTGTCCCCAGGATTGGTTTCTCCACTGGTGAGAACTCTGTCACAGGACAAATGGTGCTAAGAAAACAGGGAGCAATGATGTTGGGGTCCTCAGGGTAATGGGGGAGATCTGCAAAGCAGCCCCACTCCTCCCAAGTAAGAGCTCATTAGATACAAGGCACAGTGATAATCTCACACACGAGAAATTTCCATCTTAAACGTGTACAATCTTAAATGGAAAGGAAGTGAACTCTGGCAGATCCTACTGAATTTAAGGCAAGAACGGCCATTCTCCCTCCTTTTCACTTGACATACCCTCCAATGGGCGTGCTCTAAACTAATGTCCGTGTTCATCCATTGAGTTACATTTATTTTTGCATGTTTGGCAGTCAGATCTATAGTATTAGACTTTGCAGTGCAGATGAGATTGCTATCATATAGGCCTGGCAAAACAACTGGACCTTATTAAAATTTAATTTAAAAAAAATCCTGCTGAAAATGCGTACTTTGAATAAAGTTATCTTGAGCCCTGTATTCAAACCTGTAGAAGGATTTCAGGGAAGAGTGGGGCCTATTTCTCTCCACACCTGTCTACACAGTACAGTGTGTAAGTAAACAGAACAAAAATATATGCTGATTTACCCTCACAGATTTTACAAGTATAATTTTCCCCTAGGGAAACTAAATTATACAACTGACCCTCCAACTTATAATTACTCAAGCAATACAAAATCGGCTACATTTAATTTTTACTTATACAAAAAGAAAGAAAGAAAGAGGGAGAGAAAACTGGCAGTGGGATACAAATCATGTTTTCCTCTATTGTGAAGTTCCATAAATTTTAATGCATATGCACATTTGACCAGTCATTAATTTATTTCTGTTGATTTTAGTTTTTAGTATACATTAGCCAAGTAATCTAAAATATATTTTTCTAGCTTTGCAGAGAAAAGATTAATAGTTCAACAGCTGTTTGCCATCATGCTAAATTAAATGAAATGTGTCAATATAACAGACAAGAAAATTAGGGAGTAGTACTGGGGCCTGAGTCTGCATCATGACGAGCCTGGAAGAATCAGAAATCAACAACGAGCAGAACAACCTGCATTTCATTTTTTTTTCCCAAAATGTAAAACTTCCGTTTCCAGAGCAGTTTGCTATTTTTTTTTAAACAATCACTTTTACTTATCAAATGTATCAACTAGTTACCTGAATGCTTACTCACCCCACAGCATCAAAACTAAAATTAAATGGTTATGTAAAGCTTTTTAATATAAAAAAATATATATTCCCCTCCAGCCCACGCATCTTCTTTTAAAATGCTGTTACCATCTGAAGTGCATTGTCTTTTTCTCTTTCTGAAGTTTCCCACTGGTTTTAGGTTTTAAAAGTGAGCCAGGAATATGGTAAATAAAAATGACTTATTTTCCTTTGTGTCATTCTCTGTACAGATAGGATCCCGCGAACACTGGAACTGTTCCTGGTGTGGCCGCCTCACTATTGTCTGCAAGAGTGTTGTCCACCGGAATCTACGCGTTGACCATAAACACCTTGAGCAAGACACCAATCTTCAGCAGCAACCCACTCATTAGAAAACTCAAAGTACCCTCCTCTTCCTCTACCCCTTCCCACGTGCCACAGCTTAAGAACTCCCCACCGTCTGTGGACCTCTTAGGTTAGACAGTGCTTCAAAGTCACACTTCGTAGGGTGTATTTTGCCCCCCAATTTCATCAATGCCATAAAGAATACATAAATGCCAGCTGGCATGGAGCCAAGTTGCAGATAAACACGGAGGCTGGACTTCATTTCACAAGACTGAAAATGAACAATATACACTCATCTTTTCCCACTAAGAGGTTGTCCCCCCCTTTCTTCCATGGCAGCTGAAGGAAACGATGCGCATCAGGATTTGTGCATTAGGTTTCATTTTGCATGATCATACAAAAGGGACGGGGAAAGACCACCCGGGTTTTTCATCTTAACCTTCAGTCCACCAAATGAGGCCTGAGAAGATACTGGGCACCAATGTCCCTGGCGATGCAAGGATGTCACAGCCAGCTCCAGGCCCACGAGGAAGGTGGCGATTCAGTAATTTGTATCTGGTTAGAGAAGACCTTCTCTGAAAGCCCAGGAACATAGCTCAAGCTTCTCATACCCCAAATACTCCAATCAAAGGACATGTACTTCATCTAAGAAAACTGAAGTTCTAAATGGGCCAATTTCCAAGAGACGCCTGTCTCTTTAACTAGAGACTCCTAACTCACATGGATTTTTGTGTCCTGTTTTTCAAAGATTTCTTAGGAAAACAGGAGCATATCAACACAAATTTGCCTAGCTGAAAAATAATAGTACAAGGGTCACTTCGTTTTCTGCACTCGAGACAAGAAAATCCACTCAGAAATCAACCGCAGAGAGTTTTTTCTCTGCTCTAATAACTTCAATATTGAGTCAGGCTTACAGAAAGAAAAAGCAAAGAGGGCAGGAAGGAAGAGAGAAAAAGAAACGAGAGGGAAAAAAAACTGGGAGCACAAAAGAGGGGAAGGAGGAAAAGAAGAAAGGGACATGGAAAGGAAAAGGCCCAGCTGTACGGTTCAGGCCTTTGGGACACCAGCCAGGCTCGCTGGTTTACAGTCACTACATTTCTGTTACTTCTGTCTACCAAATAAACCCACCGTCATTCCCCAAAGCCCCTCCTGTGGCTGCGGGGCACATTTTGCTTCCTTTCACCTCACCCTCTGGGACTCTCACCAAATCGTGGCACCAAACCTTGGGGTCCATTCTCCTAAGAAAAACTGAAAATACTAGAAGATAAGCCACGGGGCACAGACAACCTGAGGCGAGGTGAGGCATGCCCCGGGGAAGGGGGGGTGACTGCTGCAGGCCGGCAGCCCCCACCCCCGCCCCCACCCCCAGCAGTTCTACACTGGTCCATCTCCTCTGTAGAAACTCCTCTCGCTTACCTTACAGAAAAGTAAAACCCTGGTCATGGTCATGTGAAAATATTTTATAGGTATCCTTTAACAGCCTTTAAATGTTGAAACCTAAAAACAATATTTGCTGTTTTCTCTTTGAAGCTCTAACAAAGCCTTTGTTTTAGATTTACCTTTAGTGTGCAATAAGAGTTAATAATCAAATCCATCCCAACCCCCACAAATGTTAAACAAAAAGATAAAAGAAATGCAAATAGCTATTGTCATGGAAAGTTAAAGTACCTGTCTGTATTTTTAAGTGAAAACTATTATCTCTATCAATCAAAATTTAAGAATACAATAGCGCTAATCACAGAAGGTGCTCTGACGGAGTTACTTTTACTCATAAAAAAAAAGTATTTTTCCCCTTAAAAATCGAGTATAAAAGTCATATACTTACAATTAGATAAGGTATTTGTAATTTTATTATTAAAAACCTACAGCAGCCTCACTGTTAATAAATGCTTCTAAGTCTCTAGACTGATTTGTACCCAAGAAGACCCAACTCCCTACATATTTTAATAAGGTTGATGAAATTTTATTTAAATTCTCACAGTTTCCAACCTGCGGGGGAACAGCACACTCTTCTGTTGAAAAGAGTTACTCAAGCAGAGGCAACAGTTAACTGGTAATGCAAACTCCTTCTTTTA